AAGATGCTAAATGTAATTTGTTAAATAATCTCCAAAGTTATTGGCTGGTAGAACCGATCCTGCTGAAAGGTCTACGAAGATGCTAAATGTAATTTTTTAAATAATCTTTATTGGCTGTCAATACCGATCCTGTTGAAAGGTCTACGAAGATGCTAAATGTAATTTTTTAAATAATCTCCAAAGTATTGGCTGGTAGAACCGATCCTGCTGAAAGGTCTACGAAGTTGCTAAATGTATTTTTTTAAAAATAATCTCCAAAGTATTGGCTGGTAGAACCGATCCTGCTGAAAGGTCTACGAAGATGCTAAATGTAATTTTTTAAATAATCTTTATTGGCTGCCAGTACCGATCCTGTTGAAAAGTCTACGAAGTTGCTAAATGTATTTTTTTTAAATAATCTCCAAAGTTATTGGCTGGTAGAACCGAGCCTGTTGAAAGGTCTACGAAGATGCTAAATGTAATTTTTTAAATAATCTTTATTGGCTGGTAGAACCGAGCCTGTTGAAAGGTCTACGAAGATGCTAAATGTATTTTTTAAATAAATAAAAAAGAAGTATGTGGAAGCACTTATCCGAATATTCCGTAGCCGAGCTAGTTGTCAAAACGTCACTTCCAGAACGATTTTCAAATGATTAATGAGCTTATTGAGAACTCTGATTAGAAGCAGATATAAATTAATTATGGTCACCTGAGAGCGAAGCTACACAAAATTGTATTTTAATATAAGAGTTGATGAACCTGTAATTACTTTTACAAAGTATGAGAAGTATATACAGTAGTTCCTTTATTAATTATTTGTGTAACTGGCCGAAAATCACACGTTTCTCTCCTACGGAAGCCTAATAGTTTCAGGGGAAGAAACAAGCAAAATTATTAAGGACACAATTTAAATAAAATGTAGTATTCAATACAAAGATAGCTTAAAGAAACTGGGGTTATTATTTAGGCTGGACTTTCTTTGATCAAAAGTTCGTTAGTTTTGAAGTTATCAGTAGATGAAGGGTATATGGAATATATTAAATCCGAAACATCCGAAGACTAAACATGTTTTTACCGCGGTGCTCCTGTTTTTAACTACACTTGGCTTCACTTTCTCTATAACGCATTGGTACATACATACATTATGTATTTTTTTAAAGATTGTAATTACAATGATATAGGTTGTTTCTGTATTTTAATGGGGGGGGGGGAGTTTGTTTTACGAGGAATGCTCTCTTTCATAAACGGCAATACACAGCACTCTAAACGGCAATACACAGCACTTTAAACGGCAATACACAGCACTCTAAACGGCAATACACAGCACTTTAAACGGCAGTACACAGCACTCTAAAAGGCAGTACACAGCACTCTAAAAGGCAATACACAGCACTCTAAAAGGCAATACACAGCACTTTAAACGGCAATACACAGCACTCTAAACGGCAATACACAGCACTTTAAACGGCAATACACAGCACTCTAAACGACAATACACAGCACTCTAAACGGCAGTACACAGCACTCTAAACGGCAATACACAGCACTCTAAACGGCAGTACACAGCACTCTAAACGGCAATACACAGCACTCTAAACGCCACAGGAATTTCACTCCTTAACCAAGTAGTAAATCAACAGATTATCTTTTGTCACATCTTATATCTTCTCTAATATTGAACTAAGAAATCACCGGTGCCACCGATGAAGCTATAAATTCGCCATCTTAAGACATGCAATACTTTATTCGCAAGACTATGTACTTTTTTTTTCTACAGAATTTATTTTAACTCTACTATTGAAGGCATGAGTTCATTATTCCCCAAGATGTTTATGAAAAGCTTGATAGAAATAATCATCCTCCCCAAGTCTACCTGAAAACAAGTTGCTTACAACAAGTCCATTGAATATAGTATATGTATTCATAACAACGCAAGATTCTGATCACATTCAAAAGAATATGTCCGTGTCTGTTTTACTGGTCAGATTTTTATATGTCGCTTTTCTCTTTGTCCCGCTGAGGTTGTTGGCGCGACTAGGCCAGAATTGGATTACTGTTCTTCCCAATATGGAGTTGGATTAGAATCCTATAAAGGCTCTTCACAAAAGGACGAGTCCTGCCTCGTTAGAGGAGAGCTTTTCTTTATTACACTTTGGCAACTTCCCAATTAATCACCTATTCAAACTAGTAGGGCGTGTCCAGAACGACTTTCTCTCTGGATCTCTGGAGGCAAAATTCAATAGAAACCAGAGACCAAGAAAATATCTCCTGCCACCGATGAGTTCCTGACAGGTCTTTTCCAAGAACGAAGGGAAGAGAAAAAAAAACAACTAATTAAATGTTAAAGTCCGTATGAAAGTAACTTTACTAAGAATAGTTGTAAAGAGGCTTTGGTGCCAGGTTTTGGAGATACCTTTTTTTTGGGGGGGGGGGGGTATTTGAAAAATTCAAATTTTGTTCTTGTATGAAAATTTAATTACGTAACTGAATGTGAACACCATTCTTTTTTTTTTAAGTATAACTCGTATTCAGGGAAGATTACGTTAAAAACTGAGTATTTTAATTCTGAAGATCGTAAGTCACTATCAGACTTATTACTTTTATAAATCAATATTTTTTGAAACAAAATCCAAAACACCAATTATCGCGAACAGTTCGTTAACAACCATTAATGACATCAAGTTTAAGAAGGTAGCTATTAAATAGACACATGAAATGTAGGATATTTGTAAGTACACATTGTATATGAGTAACGTATCTTTTGTTGATTGTGCACTCAATTATTATTAAAATATTTTTCTACTGCCATGCTTGTTTCCACACAAGAGAAATGTCTTGCACGTTTTTCCCAGAAGAAACATTTTTAGCGTAAGTCAAATTCGCCAAATTATTCAAAACTAAGAATTATTTTTTTTCTCTTATCTCCTTCTTTTTATAAATTCGCCAAATTATTCAAAACTAAGAATTATTTTTTCTCTTATCTCCCTCTTTTTATGATAAAAAAAAACAGTAATTGAACATCATTTTGATTAGCGTGCCAGCCTGTGAATCCGAGATAAACAAATACAAAGAATAAATATTCACGTAACAAGAGACATTCTATGATTTTGTTTTTATATCTATCTCAGAAAAACGTTGATCGATTTCGAGATAAGTTGGTTAACTATACGCATGTACAGTGTACGGTAGTAGTTTAAAAAAGCTTTCTTCTCATAACACCGTATTACTTTACGTTAATATGGTTTAAAGTTTTGTAGCTCAAGTTGGGCCTCATCTCGGCACCGAATGTGATGGTCTTAGGCCTATTTATAATCGTGGTAGTTCCCCTAGCACGAAGACGTCATACGGACAGAAAGACCACCGGCCACCCAAATGTTACGATCTAAATCCAGATGACGTCCGTCCTCGTGAAGAACGATCAGAAACGAGACTCTAGTTACTCAACCTTTTAAAATTAATGGTTTGAAGCAATAGCTTGCTAACGTCATGTATAGAATCTGTCTTACTGATGAACCTACCACTTGTGAGGTCCGTAGGGCACAAAGATGGGACTGACAGCCAGACATTTAAATCAATAACAAGCCACAGGGATAGAAAAACGTCAACACTACAATATTACGTAACTACACTGAACTAAACAGTTTGCACGTTATTAACACTTAGAACTTTAAGTGGGATGTGTGAAACATCACTTGTGTTTTTGAATTTGTATTATCGTGCGCGTTATTAAGTTTGTGTGAAAAGTGTTTTAGAACGTTTCAGGTTAGTACAAAAACGTTTTAAATTATTTCAAATTACCTGATAATTCAAACATTGTGACGAGCTTTAAAAATCACTTTCCTGATGGTTCAACCATTGGATGAAGCTTAACAAGTGACTCGTGTGATACTGCAACCATTGTGAGAAGTTTGAAAAATGGCTTACGCGATAGTTCAACCACTGTGAGAAGCTTAAGAAATCACTTTCCTGATAGTTCAACCATTGTGGGAAGCTTAAAAATCACCTTCCTGATAGTTCAACCATCGGAAAGCTTAACAAATGACTTACCTGTTATTCATCCATTTTGAGAGATTTAACGAATGACTTACCTGATAGCTCCGCCAACTATGGGAGTCCTAATCCGTGACTTTTCTGATAATTCCTATACGTTGATAGTCCTAATTTGTCACTTACATGTTTCGGCATGGTCAGAATTCTAGTTCGTGACTTGTCTGATATTTCTTCACGGTGAGAGCTCTAGTTCGTGACTTACATGTTCCGGCATGGTCAGAATTCTAGTTTGTGACATGTCTGATATTTCTACACGGTGAGAGCTCTAGTTCATGACTTACATGTTCCGGCATGGTCAGAATTCTAGTTCGTGACTTGACTGATATTTCTACACAGTGAAGGCTCTAGTTCGTGGCTTACATGTTCCGGCATGGTCAGAATTCTAGTTCGTGACTTGTCTGATATTTCTACACAGTGAAGGCTCTAGTTCGTGACTTACATGTTCCGGCATGGTCAGAATTCTAGTTTGTGACATGTCTGATATTTCTACACGGTGAGAGCTCTAGTTCATGACTTACATGTTCCGGCATGGTCAGAATTCTAGTTCGTGACTTGTTTGATATCTCTGGTACGGTGAAAATACTAGTCCGATTTGTCTGATAGTTCCGGCACGGTCAGAGTTCTATTCATTGACTTTCATGTTAGTTCTGGCACAGCGAGAATTCTAGTCCATGAGTTGTCTGATAGTTCCGACACGGTTAGAGTCCTACTCCGTGACATGGTAGTTCCGGCATAGTGACAGTTCTAGCCCGTGAGTTGTTTGATAATTCCGGCACGGTTATAAGTCTAGCCATTGACTTATATGATGAGAGTTCTAATGTCTGACGTACCTTATAGTTCCGGAACTGTATGAGGCTCAGTACACGATTACTTGAGAGATTCCCGTTCTATGATTAAAACATAAAAAATCTCACTGTGTGGATTACCCACACGTTGAGTGTTCCTTGCATGCAAACTTTGTGGTAGACTAGTAATGTCCGTTAGACCACCAGAAAACAAATCATCTGATATACAGTTAGTGAAGACCTTGTAAATATAGAAGTAAATTAAATCAACTGTTTGTTTGTTGTATTATATTTAACTTTCTTTATGCGCTGTTTAAAATAGGGATGTTTCTTCTTATCTTCCCCACAGAGCTATGTCATCAGTGGTAGCCTTTAGTGCGCATATCATCTGTAACAAGATTCCTGGTTTGACCGCTATTCAAAGAAGGATTTGTCACGTGCGTCCTGATGCTATAGTGGCCATCGGGGACGGCGCTAAGCTCGGCATCAAGGAGTGTCAACGTCAATTTCAGTCACACAGATGGAACTGTACGGCTATCGGTAGTGACAGTGTCTTCGGTCACGTGGTAGTTGTTGGTAAGTGTAGGAAAACTATATTTACTAGTTGATGACATTAGATTTAGCAAAGGTAGACCGACAACCTTTTCAAGAGCGCCGCCAAGTAGAAGACTCGATCTTTATCGAGGTAGTTTTTTTTTTTTTGTTTTTGTTTTAAATA